AGATTTTGCCTAGTGTGATTTGTTATTGTCTACATTTTAAAACTTTTCTAGAGTGTGACATGGTATTGAAAATGCTTATGCTGTAGTTTGCTACTGCTTTGTCAAGGTGATATCGATACATGAAACATTTGCGTCATACCTTATTTTATACAAATTTAGCCTAATAGAGTAGAAAACAAGGATATTTTTTCGTTTGTCTTCTTTTTAAGTCCTTTCTTCTATAATCGCTTTTTATTCTACGTTCAACAAGTTTTTACTTTTCTCTAGTAACTTCACCATCACTTCACTGTTAACTTCTTGTCCCATAGTTTTGCAAACTCCACATAAATATCCAAAAATGTCCGAAGTGTTTAAGCCAGAGGTAGTCAACATTTTTATACCTACTGCCCACTTTGTAAACAGTAAAATTTCTATACTACCATCTCTTTCACAGTAACTTAATATAGCGCAACTGCAAAGAAATTTTTAAGTGGAAATTAGTAAAAAATGTATAGTCCATGCATGTTTCGATATTCCTTGATCATTTTTTTATCGTACAAAACCTCCACCACCTACCGTGAAAGCTTAAATCGCCTACTAGTCGGCGGTAGGGACCAGGTTGACTCTAGTCTAAGCGCTCAAAGTTACTCGCCTGCAACCATTCTGCCCATGATTTCCTCCAAACCGAATATATGGTCCTGTAAGCCCCTTGTTGCCATCTTCAGCAATGGAAAATATTAAAATGGTGTTTCCAGAAATCATTAAGTGTTAATTATGTAATGGAAGTTACTACAAAACACTTTAAAAAAAACTATATGTTGCTGACTCTAGTTTTCCTAACTCGAGACACTGTTTGCCATCCGAGACGTGTTTTATTTTAAAAATACATTCGTGAACCCAATTATTCGTAAATACCCGAACTTTCACTATATTTATTGCTTGTTTTGTTTTGGACACTGAACACATTTTATCTACATTTGGTGGCTACTAATAATAGTTACATGATTATTAGTTTCTAGTATTCAGAAGCCCAACAGCGGCCGGGCGGCAAAGTTCCTGAACACTGGCAGTTCGTTCCTAGCTTCTAATGCCGCACTGGTTGCATGGGCGTTTTCGTGGTTTGCCCATGTGTAACGTGTACTGGAGCCCTTAGAAAGTCCTCCACGAAGGCATCCCTCTCGTGAGGGAGATAACTTTCAAGGCTTTGCGTAATTACATAAACCAAACCAAACTAAACCTAATATTCAGAAATGAAGATTTCATCTTAATCCCATTTCTTGTACACACTGTTTCCGATATTATGCGCTAATTTAGAAGATCCGAAAATCGACATAACTTGAATCTTTGAATAAGAACAAATATACTTTTACCTTTGTTAAACGAGCTACAGTATAAAAACGGAACTTTATAAAATTATTATGTTTATTTTTTGAAATCTTCTGACGATATCTATAAGACATTTCTCGGCGAAAATACCTTTACTTCACTTGTCAGTACCAGCGCATGTTTTTCACATGCTTTGATTCTCTTATCTCTCTTTATCTTTTCTTAATCTCTTCGAAAAACTTTTACTGAAGCAGATGTTTCCCTAATAATGAGAAAAGAAATGTAGAAGGATAGAAATCTGAGTGTAGATATAGGCATCAAATTCCCATTTAGTATCTTATCAAAGTCGGCTGGAAGCAGCTTATCTTTCTGCTATTCGACTAAATTCATCAAATCGATATTTTTATCGTAAACTTCTTTTTGTACACTGATGGCATAGAGATTTTAAGAAATTTCAGAATTAAGAGTACAAACTCACTCATAACGACAAAACCATAAAAATACTAGACCATGAATAAAAGCAATTAACAGAATCTTCGTTATATTGTATTTTACAAATATATTATAATGGAAGGGTAAATTATAAAATTTCAGATAGAGTATGCAGAGTCGCCCTAAGCCCTATTGGTAAGCACTGCTAGCTGCCGTATCGCTGGGTCTGGGATTGAATTCCGGAGAAGGCCTGAATGTTTGTAAGTGAATAATTTCTTTATGGCGTGTGACCAGTAAAGTACATGACCTTAGAACTCTTAGAACTTTCTTCCCGGATTCACCTGTGATAAAATATGGACGGTATTGACCAAAGTCGTACTGTCACCTTTGAGGTTCCTAAGGCCCATGCCAACAACGGCAGATGAAATCCTATACTTATTGCTACGATAAATTTGACGAATTTGGTTTTGACATCGCTATCAGAACAAATGAGATAAGTCGTAATGGCAGCAGAACCTGTCGGAATTAGTATGTCGAGCATCCTTCTCATGCAACATTAGCGGTTGTCGTACTGTTACGCATGGAATGGCATTTTGTGATATTAGTATGTCGAGCATCCTTATCATGCAACAGTAGCGGTTGTCATACGGCTGCGCATGGAATGCCATTTTGGGATATTGCACTCCATGCAGTTTCTGTTCTTTGCTAGAATTTGTCTGGCATACTGTGTTGCCGTGCTAATCTCCCCCACGACCATTGTCCAGACGTTTTCAGGTCATAACAGACGTAGAGAAGATGGTGGCCAAAATAGAAATCTAATACTCTTCTTATTGAGAAATCGTAGGATAACTTAGGTACAGTGCCATCTAGCAGTGTCCTGTTGTTATGAGCTGAACAACTAAGGCCACCCGAAGATATATTACTTGTTTTAAAACCTCAATAATGTGATGATGGCTGACTAAAGTATCAAGTATGCGGACTAAAGGTGAACGGGATGTGTACTCAGTGGTATCCCATACTAGCAACTTACTTGCTAGGTCGATATAACGATGAAGAATACAATTTTTCAGTTTATTTTCCTCGGTGCCTCCTCACAAGGATACGGCGACCTATATGTGCTGTAATCAAATGCGACTTCATCAGAAATGACGAATTCGTGCCAATGATGCATCTATTTACGTCGTTGAATGCTCATCGTAGACGCTGATTCATGTGCTGTTGCATCAAGGAGATTGGTAATGAAGTTTCAGATGTCATCGCCCATATATGCGGATGATCTCCACTGATAACATCGCGGACGAAAACGTCGTGCTACAAAACATCGTGGGAGAAAACATCGCAAAGAGAAAACATCATGGTACAAAATATCGTCGTCGAAAATAAAGCGGTTCAAAAACTTCGTAGTTTTCGTCCACGATGTTTTTGGCTGTAACCATGCGGCTACTCAGTGCTATGCAGCACACCCATCGGTTGTACTATCCCTAACAGCGAAAAGGACAAAATGGTTGAATTCTTGGTCACTGGTGAGAGGGGATTTTTCAAATTCAGCAGATTAGCTCTTCTAGACTCATGGATTGCAAATTCTCACTGAATGTCGATGAGTGCGAGCAGCAATTGTAGAGTACGACAATCCACAGTTCCAGTAGGCTATTATTTTCTCAAGATCGAATGCTGAGATGTTTAGTAGGAGTTTCTACTTCTTACATGAGGCATACTATAATGTCCAACACACACACCAAACAAAGAAAAAGAAGAAAAATCCGTATTTCGATATACCATTTTTAAATTCTTAGAAGTATCATTACTCTCGCGAACAACATGAACATGCTATCCGCATATCTTAAATCATTCGCATACCTTAAATAATCTGCATATCTCACCTTTTTCAATTAAATCAGTATCGTACTCCAACTCGCCGCGGACCGCAAAATGACAGATTTGCAGATGGCGCAGTTTGAAACTGGCGGATAACGAGAGTCCGAGTGTCGAACAGAAGGGAAAAGTTTTAATGTTTTCTGAAGAGGTGAAAGTTTGATGGCGACGCAAAGACGTTTTCATGCACACTTTAGTACAATATGAGCTTCTTGCAAACAGACCATTCGCAAACTGTGTCAGCAATCAGAAAATCACTTGCTTTGTATCGGAGAAGAATCAGCGGCACCCATCACGTACCCGCATACTTAAAAGAGGTAGCAGGTTTTCCGCTACACACTCCCTGGTTCATGCCAGATGGAGTACACACACACACTGCAAATGTTGTTTTTGATTTCTTTATGAGATGCTTATGTGTAATGCCGTGCTGGTCTTCTAAACGTTACGAAGGTGAGAGATAGTGATCCCGCATAAATTTCAGAAATTTGTTAACAGGAAGAATGCGCTATCGCTATTAATATTATACACGAGGAGTGATAGTTCTACCGGGCCAATATGCCCATTGCTCCAGCAGGAAAGTCCTGACTCATCTCAGGAAAAGGACACCTTCTTTTCTAGCTGCTCCAAACTTTACTAACTCACGGTGTTGTTACCTGCGCTGAACTCCTGAGGGAAGACTGCTTCACTCGTATATAACAAATCCCAATCATTTTGTTCCGAATCCAAATGACAAAAGGATAAAAGACTTCTTTTATCCTTTTGTCATTTGGAGTGACCTTCGAGGCTGCAACCGGAATCATTAACAAAGACACCTCGTTGCATCAGGATTTCTCCACTGGACTGAAAAATGTACCATTGCATTCTGGAATCACTCATCCTAGGCAAAGAACCTTTATGCGACCTTATCACAGTGTTCTCAAAAAAGTCTTCAAATGTAATTCAACTTAAGGTTGTTACTGTGCAGTTGCCACGCAATTTTGAAAGGCGTGGTTGTAATAAATGCAAAGATCCGCTTGCAAGAGGAAGTGAAAGAAAATTTTAGACATATTCTACATTAAACTTACTTTCCAGTCTCAGACAGTTAAGCATATGTTCATTTTATAGTATTCTGATGATAAATAAATATGTATCAAACAAAATAAATGGAATGATATTTCTTTCGCCGCCCTGTATCTCTAAAATTAACGAACAGATGTCTTAAAATGGTGTGAACTGAGTGAAACAAATGCCCTAATTAGTAGAGAAGAAAGATTTCAGACTTTTCATGTGTTGTTTACATATATAAATATGTTTGTATGTAATTTATAACTGCTTCAACAAACTATAAATTACTCATTTGCTTTAATTTTATGTGTTATATTATAAAGATAGTTTGCTTTTGTATATTTTAGGGACCTTATCAACTTCCTGACCGACCTGTTGCTCCAGACAATTTGAATAAACGTCAGGTCCTTTACAATTATTGGGCGAGATGGAGCAAATGGTATAAGTACCAGCCTCTTGATCACATCAGGGAATATTTTGGCGAAAAGATAGGGATTTACTTCGCTTGGCTGGGTAAGCATTTATCTTTGTAGTTTATCTATTAAGCATGATTAAATTTTGTGGCCATAAAAATGGAAATAGGTTAAAAGACAGATACGATAAAAGAAAGTTCAGGTCCGTCCAAAGTTTAAGTTTTATTGTTTAGGTCCATTAAAACGGAAATATATTAAATGATCTTAATATGAAAAATGTACTTCGAAATAAAGTTTTCTGTATTCGGTCATTAAGGACTGGTATATAAGAATCTGAATATGGAAATATGGAAATCAAAGCATACCGCGTAATCCATTGTAGCTTGCTAATAGTAAGCAATAGAGAAATGAAATTTTATAGACAGAAGCATTGGTCCTTTGGAAATCTCACTCAATATACGATCCATTTATTATTATTTGGTTTGTTTTATTTTAAACACGGTATACAGAATAAATACACAGTTTTTCCTGCAAAATTTCTATATATTTATCTTACCCTCAAATGGATCAAAGATATTGTCACAGTATCCTCAAGGTACTGTATTTGTTCTGATTCTCTTTCTTCTCTTCACTTTTGAACAGTATTACCAGCAGCAATAAATTAGTTATCTGTTTTCGTGAAGTCCAGACTGCTGTTGTCCGCTTTTGTTCATTTTGTTTATGCATGAAACTTTTCATGTTTTATTTAACTTACTTCTGTAAGCCCCATGTTGTACATCTGTGGTGCACGTGGACATTGTATGTTTTCAAATAAAAATACGTATGTATAATACGATCCATTTGTTTTACTGCACTGCCATAGTCTTATATAATACCACCCTAATTTTCCATGACACGAATTTTCATTCATTCCATCCACTGCCTTTTGCTCTCAACATAGATGTGAAACAGTTTTCACGTTTCACTACACGTGGTGATACCATAGACAATCCCAAGAAAAACTTTACAAAAGATCGATGATATTGTAAGGACTTTATTTTAGTATAACCCATTATTTTTAGTTTGACTTTCCTTTTCCTCCTGATTTGAGTTTCCTGACGGAAAATTTGTATGACGTAGGTATGCTAATCTAAACATGTTTCAGAAGCAATATTTAAGCTGCGTTTAAAGAGTTCGTAAAGAGTAGTAGCGGACTTAGTTACGAGTTTATGAGTTTCGAGTGTTTGAATTTAGCTCTCTAGTCGGTGCTAGACACCTTTCAGTTTATACTGATATTTCTAGGGCCGACTTTTCCATGTGTAGCCGATATAGCGTTTAGTTAAGCTAAGGAGCCAGTCGTTAGATAGTTTAATTTATTAGTGATTTGTTACATTCGTAAAGACTTAATTTTGTTCCAACCACTTATTTTTATTTTAAGAAACTTTTCTTTCCCTTCTAATTTCAATTTCCTGCCAGAATGCAAATTTAGATGAGGCATATGCAAATCTAAATGTGTTCAGAAATAGTATTTAAGTAGCAGATTTTAAGAGCTCGTTGTAGGAGAGTTACATCTGAATTTATGTAGCGTGTTTGACAGTAGCTCTGTAGTTGAATAGTTGGTGTAGCTACTTAACTTTAGATTATACTGATATTCTAGGCTAGACTTTACTGTGTGCAGTCGATTAAGCGGTTTAGATTTAGTAGGAGCCAGTCATGTAGCTATGAAACTTTAATTCATTGCGATTTTACATACTATTTTCTGTTAAATTTACTTTGGCCACAAGTGGTGGTGATTTGTGAGAACCAAGTGCGTGCATCTGTTTTAATTTAGTTTAAATAAAATGGTTATTTAAAACCTTCCTCTAAAGTATTTATTCTTAAAAGACATAGTGAGTATTCGCTACTTCGTCTTCTACGTAGAGTCTACAGTGTATACTACCAAAGAGAACCCACAGATTCTATATAATTCTTTATTTGCATTTATCTCCCTTGCCAAGACAGCTCGCTGGATTCCAGTCGTTGGAGTAGTGTTAACATGCATTCTTTTGCTGCTCCGATATATTTGCATCAGTTGTGATGGTTGATCGTCTGCCTTACAGTGGCTAGTCTTTCATATTGCAGTCGGTATCTTGAAACCTCAGAAGTCATCGATATATTTACTTCTAATCTTTTTGCTGAACCCATCGACAGGCATCGGCGTACTGTGAATCGATATTGCTGAGCTATCCGCGGATCTGTAGAGTAATTCGATCACTGCATTTGTTGGAGTACTGGGATGTTATGTTGATCATCCACTCTGACTTACTTGCAGCAATAAGTATAGGTTAAATGGTAGAGGGCAAGTGCTTCTACCTACAACATTTCATTTACATATTTCTTATCATTATCAAGCTACAGAGGGCTGCGCGTTATTTTTTTTTTTTTTTTTTTTTACTGATCCATGTAATTATACTCAAGTTTTTAATTTTCATTACAGAAAATACGGTATAAATGTTTCAAAAACTTTCCAAACAGAATAGCTTCAATTAATTCTACAGAAAATATGAAAATTTGTGAAATGTTTAATGTGAAAATTTTAAGCTAGAGTGCATTTTATTTTACGCTCAATAATTGAAATATTAAAGTCCAGATTTAGCATTGTAATTCGAATAATTCGAAAGTACGTCTGGATCATCTTTTAATCTTGTAAGCTGATTAAGTTCCTTTGTAATTCCTACATATATATACATTTATGCAAGTATATATATTTGCGTCAAATGGACCGTGCTTTAAGTTATGGAATTTCTTCGCGATTTATCTGAATACCATACAATATTTCAATTTTTAATTTTGGAAAAATACATGTAAGATATGCATAACAATCAAAAGAGGAAAATAGGTACAGTTCAGTTTGGGTTTCGAATATTCAGCGTAATGACCTGGATGAAATAGCAAATTATTTTATGGCATTTATATCTGCATCATTATTAACTATTTATATATAAATGACTATTGAATTTTAGTTCTGATCACTTAATCAAAGATGATAAATTTTTCAGTGGCGTTTTATATTTTAGAAGTTTTAGAAATGTAGACTATTTTGGGAAAGGAAATAAATAAAATTTGTTTGGAACTTCTCTATTATGTTTTCAATAACTGAGCATACATAAGCTTGTTCGCTATAATATTTCATTTCTTTCTAACTGAAAATGGATTTTCACATCACAGATTATTCAGCCAACAGATAATCACTTTTACAGTACCGTTATCATGTATACAAAATTAGAACCTTCTTTCATAAAAACACCATTCTTAAACCTTTTTTTCAATGGCGAGCTCTAGAAGGTGTGGAACAAATTACATTCATGCTTTCTCCGAGATTCGAACCTAAGCCTTTCGGCATGCCAGTCAGAATCATTAACCACTTTTCCGGCTGGACGGTTGCATTCTTAAACCTTGTTGGTTCTCTTTAACAACTGTAAGACCAGAAATTCGACAGCTCAATTTCTGTGCAAGTTTAGGAAATGCTTTACTACTATTCGCCTAGCTGGAAGTGACATCATGGAATCTTGAAATCTTATATCTCTTAAATATACAGTTTATTGAACCATTCCATTGGCGTTTTGTTTCCTTTAAACTTTTAAATATGGCATCATACATTTTCTGGAATATCATACGCATGGAGAACCAAACCATCTTTCAAACATCTCTCCCACGACTAGAATAATAAATGAAAATGAAGCTGCTTAGCCACGGAAATTGAAGCTTTGAAAGCTGCAATCACAATGATATCTTACAGATGGATACATAAAGAAGAATCATTTGAACTGGTATGAACTATCGATTACTTAGTCAAGCATCGTTATTAGCTTTTGAAAGATGCGATTTATCGAAACTGTTCCATTATGTTTCTTCTAAAGCTTTGAATATGCCATCTGAGATTACAATATTTTTTTCCGAAAGAACCTGCATATAAAGAATCAATTCAGCTTTCCAAACATATCTTCCTCAATCAACTGTTTAGCTTCAAAAATTAGAGCTCTGAAAGCTGCAATAATATCTTATAGCTCGATAAGTAAAAAAGAGCTGTTTGAGCTAATATGAAACCCTATTGATTACTGAGCCAATTAACTATTGTGATCTCAGCTTTGTAACTACTTTAGCGTCAGTGGTAGTCATTTGTTTTTCGTTCTTTTTAGGTTTCTACACTGGTTGGCTCTTCCCAGCAGCTGTTGTTGGACTAGCAGTATTCTTGTATGGCGTGTCAACAATGCACAATGATACACCTTCGTAAGTGTGTTCTTATTTTTTTAGTAGTTGACATTTATTAGTTGGTACCTTATGTATTATCCCGCCGAACTTGAAAGTTGACTACCATCGAACCATCAAAGTTGGCTGAAATCCCGTCAAATGCCCAATCAATTCCGCGGAGTTCTCAAAGAACGGACGACTATGAATAAAAACTTCTCGCAGGTAGTTGTTCAAGGCTATTAGTATTTTGTAGGCAATATTCAGTTGACCATATCGTTTTCATTAATATACGTATTTTTTTATGGTAGAATCCCATAACTTTCGAAATAATTCACTGCTTATTTAAAGTCAGGCATCAAGTTTCAATATTTTTTTTTTCAAAATGCAAGAAAATATACAGCAATAATAATTAATTAATATCTTTTTGCATAAAAACGTTGTTGTTGTTGTGACTTATCTCACTTGTCTGACAGTAACATCAGAACAAGCCCACGAAAATCATCGTGGCAAGGAGTGCAAGATAGCGCCTGTTGTTGGCAACAGCTTTGAGCACCAATCAAATGACTGTACGACGTTGCTCAGTTCCACTCCCAATTTTGAAGGAGATCATCCCAGTTGGACGGGTCCGAAGGTCTTCTATTCCCCTACCATCAACCTCTCGAGAGGACTTTCGGCTAGCCCCATATTTAGAGTACCCCCTTGCCGCACATACATATACGTTTACAAACATACATGCCTTCTCTGGGATTCGAACCCGGACCTTCCGGTACAGCTGTCAGCGTCGCTAACCACTGTCCCGGTTGGGCGGCGCTTAAAAATTAAATATAGCTTCTCGCGAATTAGTGAGGGTTCATTAAACTAAAACGCACGTGTTATGAGTGTGTTGTTACATCACACTTATCCATAACTGGCACTAAATCGCACTGCTTGGTTTCGCGGAATACTAGGTAAGAACCGGTTAGTTTGACATTATTTCATTCTACGTCATCCAAGTATTGAAATTTAACCTGTATTTTTTAATTCTGCTTCTAGGAACGAAGTGTGTGAAAGCGGAAAAACATTTCTGATGTGTCCCAGATGTGAGGAGAGTTACGGCTGTGCATATTGGCACCTGAGTGACATTTGTATGTTTAGTAAAATGTCTTATCTCTTCGATCATCCCGGAACTGTCTTCTATGCAGTTTTTGTTTCATTTTGGGGTAAGAAACCTTAAAGTAGCTTTGCATTCCAAGTGCATCAGTTTAAGAGAATTCATTAATTATTTACAGAATTAGTTATCTGCAAAGATAATTACTAGTTAGTTAATTATTTATTTAGTTAATTGATTATATACAACGTTAATTAAACATGCAATTAGAAATCTGCTTCGTGAAATTCATTAAGAATGATCTCTGTCCAAAAAAAAAATCGTTATAAAAGAATTGAATTTTGGATGAAAAATTAATATAATTAAACTGTAGGTCACTCAGTGAAATCTTTGTAATCAGTAGCAATCAATTCATAACAATTAGATCATAGCTATCATATATTCATCTCCTCTCAATCACTTAATCATGAAGAATCTGTATTTATTTTGTATGTGTATATATTTACTGCTGCTCGCACTGTGGAAAAACGGCGGAACCAAGAGCCACCAAAATTCTACACCATGATTGATTAAAATTGCAACACCGGAAAGGAATGATTTGACGAACGTCAAAATCATGTCAACGAACGTCATGAAAGGAAGAAGTTGGAATATATACGCTGGGATACGTCGACGTTTGCAGCAGCGTAGACTATCAGCAGGGGGACCATTACTTCGGCTTCCCTCGACAATGCAGCAGAGAGAGAGACGGCGACTCTGGTGCGTCAAACCACAAAGCTGGATATAGTCCTGGTTCCATGTGCAGTAGTCTGAAAACCATATACGTGCCTGAAGTGTCCGAGAAGACGCACGTCGCCTGCTTGCATTGGATATAATTTTAAATTGAGCATATCTTTAGAATACACAGTCTCACGCGCTGGAGATAAGTTTTTCTGTACAACGTTGCCATTGCTCGCCTTGAAATCGGCGAGTTTGTTAATCAAAAATTCGTTACAAAACATGAAATCGATCATAAAACAAATTCCAAATTTCAAATTTGGGCTTCCAGATGCCCATACTCGCAGTAGGATTACGTTATTCAAAATTGGATGGCTCTAGTTACCGTTGTTTTATCACAACGCGAGAAACATACATACATTTATGTACATTCTTCATTATTTAATTTCTTTAAATATAATACAGAGCGATAATATTTGGTGGCAACAGTTTTATAAATGAAATGGACATTCAGAGTGATTCGACGCAAAATCGCAAAACGAAAACTATAGTCCGTCAAGGGCAAAGCTCCTTTGGACTAAAAATATAAATAATTAAATAATTAGATTTAAAATAAGAGAAATATAAAGAGAAATCTAATAAATAATTAAATTAATTTTAAATAGTTAAATAAGAAAAAAAAGTATCGGATCTTGTCTTATTTCTGGAATTGGCTGTAATACAATTCCATTTAGAAGCTAAAAAGCAGCTCAGCCAATCTTGTTACGTAGAGAAAAAATTAAATTTACTTCTATATTTAACTTTTAACTCTTTAAAACTGACTAAACTGGTGCCGCGAATAAAAAAAGAACATTATTCAAATCAAAGAAAAATCAAATTCATAATAATCAAAGATCAATCGAATAAACAATCGCATAACATATCGAACAATCAATCGTATAGTGGTATAGTGCAAGGGCGCGTTGTGAAGCCCACTGGGCTTCACAATTCCCACTGGGCCACACTGGGCCCAGTGGGCTTCTGGGCTTCACAATAACCCCAAATTCAATAAAACTCCATCCAACCCCAAATTCAATAAAACTCCATCCAACCCCAAATTCCAAATAACCCCAAATTCAATAAAACTCCATGTTTCTTAAAAGCCTCCCGGCTCAAACAAATGGAGGGACATGACAGACCACAGTAAATTATACACAAGATAAATACACAAATACAATTAAATTTTAAACACACATTTATTAAATTCTAGAATCTTATTATATTACTAAATAATGGATAACTGATCAGTAATCCTACCACATACTTTTACTATGAAAAGTAACACATAATGTCACACGCAATTACAGCTTACAAAAATTAAGATTAACATTATCAAATCCTATTGTATCATAAGAGTAACACCAGTATTTCTCCCATTTCATGTTCTAACTTTAAGTATTTATTCCCTTTGCGAACACTGATAATTTCCACATCGATTAATTAATTTAAGTAATTGCTCAAATTTCAACAAACATTAAAATGACGACTCTTGCTTGAGTAAGATAATTATTAAAGAAAAACAAAATAAAAATAAAATACAAATCACTCACGGGGTGAAGTTCATACCGCACACTCCCTTTACTCGGGAATACCTTTGTAAACTGATTAATAAGGTGATTTGACAGCTCCACAGATCGTCCAGCGTCCAAAGTTTACTCGAGCACCACATTATTCCTGCTGTCCTTTATTTACAAAATCATCGTTAATGGAGACAGACAGTTCGTGCGAATTTTAAAGATGTCACAAGATTCAAATCACCACTGAAGCTGCCCTTACAATTAATAAATTCCAGAGCATGGAAGAATGGAAAAAAATTTTCCATGCTCTGGAAGATTTCCATGCTCTGCCAGCTGACACAGGCAGAATAAACAGCATCGCATACCTTAGACGGATCCTACACGAGTCTCTTCCATTCTGGAAGCCTCGAAACCACCAAAAACGTAGAGCACCTTTGGAACAAAATCTAATTAGGAAGTCAAAGTCAGTAAAAACGGGAATACCGCATCAGGATCACCTCGAGAATCTGCATTACAATTCTTGGAACAAGAGAATCGAAATTCTATTCTGAGCTCTACGCCTTATGCCAACGCAAATTCTCAGCAACTAAACTCCGAGAGAAAATCATCCGCTGCTCGCTGGTTCACGCGGCCCGCTGCAAGGCAAGACCGCAACAGGACAAACGTCCCGATCTTTTTTTTTTTTTTTTTTTTTTTTTTTTTTTTTTCCCAGCTTACCTTTACATCGTAGGGCTCAAATCAGACTCCAAATCCGACGCAATAGCCGGCGCTCGTGAGAGCAAGACCCGCAGGGGTCAAGTCCCACTCCTTTCTCCTCTTACTCTTCGCTTGAAAATCAGAATCAGGAATAATTTCTAGCCTGGTGCAAGCACCCAGGAAATCTCGGTTTCTCCGCCTCTGTGAGATCATAGGCTTTCAAAAATCATAAAATTAAAATCACACCAATGCCGGAATTTTACTTTATCTAAACTGAGAAAATGACACACCCATGACGAATCAAACACCAGACAATCTGACAATGCAGTCCGAAAAACATCTGTACACACAACGTAAGAAACAAAAAATGGACCCCCCAACTAACAAGCGAAACTAAGCTTTACGAAATCCAATTACCTAAACTTTGTACACCCCGCACTGTCTTGAAGTAAACAAAACTGCAACTTTAACAAAGCGAAAGCAAGACGATTTGCGTTTCAAACTCCATTAGTTAAAAGGCGACAACACAACACCCTACTGCCTCCATTGTTAGTAAAAAGGCTATACCCAATAAACCAGATGTGTTTCCTTGCAACCGTCTCTCGCCTTTGTTACAATTCCTACTCAAGAATAACGAGTTAAATAAAACCTTAAGAGCTTAAGAATACTTTTTTTCCAGATTAAAATACACATGAATACAAATAAAAATATTAGAATAATAATAACTTAAAACACATATTAATAATTAAAATTCGCGACATAACAATCTGCATCTAAGTTTAAGTCCTGATTTTACGTATAATGTACTCTTCCAAGGAATGAATAGATACCACTTTTTTTTTTTTTTTTCCAGCAAAACAAGAAAGAAAGATAAAACGATTAAAGCTCCATTAAGGAGAATCATGAGAATCCTAGAAACAGTATGGAAGAAAATTTTAACGGAAATGTGTAGCTTTGAAGATAAAGAGGGAAGAGTTCAAGACTTTCTGATCGCAATTCTAGCGTGGAACGTTCATGACCAGGGTGTCACTTTTAGTGCTTTGAGGAACAGATAATTTGCTGTCATAAGTTCATTGCATATCCTAGAGAATAAGCCTTTGCCATATGATTGGCGGGTTTGGTTTGGTTTGGTTTGGTTTATTTAATTATGGCAAAGCACACTAGGGCTATCTGCCTAAGGGGAGGGATGCCTTCGTTGAGGACTTTCTAAGGGAAACTGGCTCGTATACACGTTACACATGGGGAAAACCACGAAAACGCCCTTGCAGCCAGCCCGTTCGCGGGATTCGAACCTCGGACCGAACTACCAGTGTTCAGCGACTTTACCGCTCGTCCGCTGGTGGGCCCCATAACCTAATGTCTCTACAACTTGCATAAAAGAAGTGCCAGAGCTTTTTATTTAGGGCTCCGGCGCAATTTAAGCTCTGTTATCTATCACACTTTTCTAATTAAAGTATTCTGTCTAGAACTTGCCTAAAGTGAAGACCTTTTAATATTCCTTTAACAAGAGTTTAGTAACTAAAGATTTCGTAAGATTAAAAACAAGCTTAGATGCCATATATTTCGCTTTTCTTAAGGAATAGTGAGACAGCTGTGAAATATGAACTGCTTTATTGTAATCAGAATAAACATGAAAGAAATTTAGTACAGTTAATTAAAAAGAGATCAAAGCGATGGAGAAAATTTCGCGTTATGCTCATTTTAATCTACGAACATGTCATAAGTTTTAATAAATGTTAAAATTCAGCCTTTGTTTAGTATTTATTTTAAATGAGAAATATATTTCAAGAGATAAACGACGTGTTACTTGATCCTTTTCACATAAAATTAATTCCAAAACTGTAATTTTATAAACTAAGGCACAACAAACTGGTATGCAGTTTTTTTTTTCTGTTATACCAGTTGTATAGATATTTAGAATATTTAAAATTATTTAGTTAAGAAGTAGGTATCTCACAGAACAGAAATTACTTGTATGAAATAGTTCGGATGTGGCTTCTGCGCGAAGCAATTTTGGAAGACTACTCAAATGAGCTTGAAAATGCACATTGATAATTGAATGCCATTACAGACTGGTGTTTCAAAGCGGCTGACGAAACTGATTCTATGCTGAGTATGCTGAAAATTTTTAATTTCTGGAAATCCTGCACTGAAAATAAATTAGACTAAAATTTTCAAGACACTTGAAAAAATTACACTTAGTTTACAAATGAAGTTAAAGAGAGCATAAGAATGCAATTAAAAGACCTCCAAGGGTCGTTGCTTTCAAGGTTGTCAAGCAAGGTACACTGCGCAAAAAAAAAAAAAAGGGGGAAGACAGTTTTATATCTCTCGTTCTATTGCGTCGATTGACAAAATTCAACTTGCGTTTTTCATGTCTCGAAAGCGCGACTTAGGATATATATTAGATTTATACATAGCCTTACTTTATTTAGATTTGACACAAAATCGGATATTTTCTGAAATAACATACCAATTGTTTTCATATTTCGATTCTACGACTCAAATTACGCCAAACTACCAAGATTTTGTAAAACTCGCACGAGTAGTTTTTAAAAAATTAGCTCTCAAAATTATATCTCCTCAATGTTAATTGAGTTTGGTATATCTTTCTCTTTTATTAATCTCTCTTTTTTTATTAAACTTATTTCATTCTTTCTTTCACATTTCGAAGTTTAGGTTCATCCGAAATAAAATTCACTAATTTTTATGATTTATTTTTGAAATTTGTATTTTTAAATAATTTTTATAAATTTTTGAAGAAAAAATTAAATAATGTATAAAATTTTTACTATCATCTTAAAGAAGACGTATTTCTAAGCATACCTGCAAAAAAGTACAGTTTTTTATTCAAAATTTCCGAAGATATACGTGAATTTATATATTGGTGCGTTTTGAAATTTGGCACATTTATTGAAAGCGATAAAACACCAAATGTGGTTTAGACACTTCGCAAAAATTATTTGGAAGTAGAAACCCAGTGACTTTTCTTCTCTCATGCGCAAGTTTAGAACGAGGTGCCTTTTTTGCGCTCCGGTATAATGGAAATGAAAGGAAAATTTGTTGCCACACATTAAGAAGTTCGCTAAGTGAATTATTCTTGGCGAACATTAAAAAAATTGTGCCAAGATAACTTTTTGAATTTCTCCGTAAATTTCGCACCAAATTTAATATTTAGGCATAATTTGAGTCGTACAATCGAAATATGGAAAAAATTGGTATGTTATTTCAGAAAAGCCGATTTTGAGTCAAAATACCTATGTTAGAACAACGCTATATATAAATCTAATACATATCCTAACTCGCGCTTTCGAGACATGAAAAAAGCAATTTGAGTTTTGTGAATAGGCCCAGTAGAACGGGAGATATCGAACTGTCCCCCCCCCCTCTTTTTTTTTTTTTTTTTTTTCGCAGTGTACTTCCAATGTCGTCAAGCGTTACTTGCCCACACGAATTGAGAAAGACAATTGGATTTCAGATCCTATCAATGAAATTTCCTTTAGAGTAGCCTCAAAATTAATAATCTATGAAAATATTTTATGACTTTATTCAATGCAGTTTATTAATTTTAAGGTATTAAAATAGACCGCATTGTCAGATATATGAGGAGACTACTAAAAAAGAATCAATGGGCCATAGGTTCTTAAGGGAAAGGTCAGGGGTCTGTCTCATGAAGAGGTGTCCAAAATAATTTAAATCTCATTAAGGGGACTTCGAAAGAAAACAAATTTGAGAACCGCTGATCTAGATGGACACGTTGTAAAACAGTTTTATTAAACTGAACACTAAAAACATTTTTTTTTTTTTTTTTTTTTTTTTTTATTAAGAGGGAGAAGGAATTTCATAACTTGAAGTTTTCGAAAGTCCTTTAAAAGTTTTTAACTGTGTTTAATTTTAAAACTATTCATGCATTCAGTCTGAAATACGATTACTAATAGTGTGTAACGTATTTACAATCCAGTTTCCCTAAGAAAGTCCTTCACGAAAGCATCCCTCCCCTTAGCCAGGTAGTCCTCGTGTGTATAGCCATAATCAAATAAACCAAACCAAAAATCACAGTCCTTTAGAAATAACAGAATAATTAGCTTAACAGAATAATTAGCTACTATATGTCTGTAATACGGCTGAATTCATATAATTTTGGACTGTGGGCAAGAACCACGGAAAATACAGACTAAATAGAAATGAAAGTTAGCAATACACATTTTGCCTTCAATATCTTACGTAAACACTCAGCTGTATTGTATGCGTACGCTAGTTTAAAGTTTCAGCTGATATCAAGAAACGGAAGAATTATTCATTAAGTGTTTCTTACATTTGTTTTGAAAACTTATTACTTTTGTTGCATTTTTACTTCTTTGTACGAAGTTAAAAGGAAGTATTGTAATCGCGAAAAGTTTCGGGCAGCATATTTCAACGAAAATATCCATTTTGACCGCTATCGAATGCAATTTAACGATGTTTTTCCGTGATATCTTTACGTAAGGACAGAAGAAAAGACTCTTTTCCTCCAAAAAAATGAGAAAACTGCTTTAAAATTAATTCTGAAAAGAATTTTTCCTGGTGTCTGTACGTACGTATATATCTCGCATAACTCAAAAACGAGTAGCCTCAGTACGTTAAAATTTTATATATAGGACTGCTATAACATGTAGATGTGCACCTCGTATTTTGGTTGCAATCGGCCGCACCAAACGTATATAAATATATTTAAATATATATCTACTCTGTTATCCGGTTCAGTGATCTCGGTTTCTTTACTCTTATATGTCTGTAAATTGTGCATTTGCTTTAAAAACGATTGAATTATGTTGTTCTTATCTTCCGGTTAAGGTTTTTGTGCCTTTAGGAAATCTGCAAGCAGTATTTGTAGAATTATCAACAATTTAGAAGATGTTTAAGTGCGGTTAAGCCTAATTTTTAAATAAAATGGCGTACATATTTGTTTACATTTGAAACAGCAGAATAGTAGGTTTGTTGCCAATCTAGAGAGACTAAGCTTCGCACCAACAAAGATAACGCCTTCATTTATTATTGTGAATTAAATCATACTTAATTATTTCTAGAATTTTTCGAGAAAATAAGTGTTTAAGATTTACTTCAAAATTTTTAATATAGATATTTTGAGTTTTTATGTATTTTGCCTTGTCGAGAAATAAGAACTGAATTAATTGAATGAAAAATACTGAATCGTCTGTGAAAAACTGTTTCTTTAAACTTTCTAGTAACAACGTCAGTAACTCTCAGGTAACAAATTTTTTACTCTCTCATCCATTACAAACAAAATTCCACTATTCCATATAAAATTCATGTCATTCTAACTATTTTATTTTATTTCAGACAATTCTGAAATGTAAATTTTAATTATAATCACTTGTATTTATGTCTTCAGTACATAATATTCTCATTCATTAATGAGTCGAATTCAATGTTCTTTCAAGTAACTTACTTCTAAAAGGCTTTAGTTTTTAGTTGCATTCACATTCTCGTAATTTCAATTTTATTGCATTTGGTTTGGAAGTATTTAAATTTACAATTCTTAAAAATGAGAAGTATGTGTTTAAAGATGTATAAACGGGGTTTGGGTTTAATTACGTTTTACCTATAAGAACAGAAAGAGGTTCTTGATATATATATCATTTATGTTTCCTGGCATAGTTCTTTTAGCTGCTCATCAAGTTCAGTTTTTATTTAATCCGTAAACAATTTGCATATACATACACTTATTTCAATCTAGTTCTAATTCGATCAACAAAAAAATAAATAAATAAATAAATAAATAACTATTTTGAATGAATTATCAAAAGATCTATTTTGTGTCATTTTTCATCGTAATGACATTTCGCCTTGTTTGCTAACCATGTGGAAGAGACTTCTTTGCTAACATATGATGTACACAGCGACTGGTAATGAATTTTCACTATGTCTTGTAAGTACCACAGAGACATGGGAATAGTGGGAAAGACGCTTTTATTTGACTCAAATCTAATAGACGGCACCATTCGTGCTCACAGAAACTAGCAGTTATGGCTTAAATCAAAAATAATGGAAAAACTAAAACTAAGAAAAGTAAATTAGCCTTTAACGACTATATGTCTTCCTACTGAATGTAAATTTAATCTATATTATATCTGCTCGTTTCTGTGTTCTGATTAAGTATACATTGACAATGGCATATTTTTTTTTCTGTGTACCGTCATTTATTAATGCAAGGATTAATGACAAAGGAAGCGACTGCTAAAGTCAGTATCTCAAATCTCTGTGAACGGCCATAGTTATATCGAATTGGAATTTGTCCGTATTTAAAGGTCCGTAAACTACTCTCAGAACATACTACCTATATGCGCATTTTAAGTAACAAGAAACAGTCTAATTAATCTTGAACAAAATGTGGCTGTAGACTAGCATGTTTAAACAAAATGATAATCTTTTGATGTTTATAGCTCATGTTCTTTGAATGAAATAAATTGATAATCTTCTGGTGCATTATATATTTAATATTTCTTGAATTTATTTATTATTTTTTTTAACTCCACAGCGGTTTCATTTCTCGAATACTGGAAGAGAAAAAGTGCCAGTCTAGCTCACCATTGGGATTGCATGGATTTTGAAGAAGAAGAGGCAAGTGTTGATTCTTTTATTTTAGTCTAATTGCAATATTATGATATCCTGAAGAAAAATTACAAGCATAGTAATAAAAAGTTTTAAAAGAAAAAATTTTGTCTAAAATGCCTTTAAGTACATGTATGCATGTTCAAGTGCGTGTACAAACTTTGGGAAAGTAGGTTACTCAAAAATGAATCGGAATCGGCTAGCAGGATTCAAAACGCCATCGTCATATGAAATGTACCAAGAACATGAGAAGTGGAAGAATAACACAGAAATGAAGAATATTATTTTATTCACTAAAGTATAGCAACTGCGATATTAAGAGAGGTTACAGAAGGTGTTTCGGCCACCAGCAGCAACAGCAATCTGCCATCGGTCCGTATCAAATCATGTACACTTCGAAATGCCGTGGCAACTATGCAGATGCGTGCGACGAGATCTTCCTCCCAATCCACGAGTTTGTCGTATATCAGACCTTTTACGTGATTTCTTCCAAAAAAGGAATATAAGGAGGGTATTTTGGGCGGTCATGTGAGCCAATGGATGGGACCATAACATCCGACTCACTGTTATCCAAGAGTCACATTTAAATTTTCTGGAACACTCTGAAACGTCATGACTGAAAAGCACTGCGGCCCCATCATGCTGGAATCGTATATCGTAACGTAATGACTGCTGGATCTGTTCGTCATTCAGGGGTTTGATAAAAACTTTTTTTTCGAAAACTCCCTTCCGTCAATTGAACAGGCAAGATATGTGGACCTATTAAGTGGTTTGCTATAATGTCGGACCAAGCACTGAGTGCAAACCGTGCTGTGGCTACATATGTCGGTGTAGAATAAGAGTTCTTCACTGCTTATATGCATACGAGTTATATCCATCATAGCACACTCTCTTGGTGTCGTATGAGTTATCTTTGAATAAGACGTAAACCCAAAAACGAGTACTCCGCAGGCGGGTACTCATATCATGGATCAAAAACAATCCTCTGTGGGTAATCATCAGACTGCAGTAGTTGTACACATTGCTCGTGATATGGGTGCAAATAGTTGGAGTTCAGGATCCTCCAAATGGTAGTTTGGAAATGAACGAATCGAACAACGATTGTACCGTCTCATGGAGTCCATCGAACTACACATACTTTACCATTATGAAACACGATCTCTTCGATTTCAGATGTCCATGCCGTTCGTCCTCGTTTCCTAACATTTCTCACGAAGAAACCCTTTCGCATAATCTTTGATGCAGCCCTGGAAGTTCAGAATATGCCTCAACGGGTAATTTCTCCCGGAAGAGGTAGAGAGGGACTCACCCGTTATAATAAGATGCATATCTGCTATCTCCGTATTTGTGAAACTTTCCATCCTGCTATCTCTGCAAGCAAGCACTGCTTATTTTTATGACCGGTCAGATGGTACAATAGTTAGTGACGCCGTGTGGCCTCTCTGGTGGTCCTGGGTTCAAATTCCGCAGAAGGCATGGATGTCTGTAAATTTACAGTGTCTGTTCGGCACGGAAGCAAAAATACACGACGAGCCGAACGTCCTTTATTGGTTCGTGGTAGGAGAAGAGGGGTGGTACACCCTCGGACTCTTTCGGGATATTCTCTATCAAAATGCGACAAAGCTTAGCAATTACAAAGTCTTGGTGATATCTGATTTTCTTTCGGGAATGCATAGGTGCCGACCTTGCTTAAACCTATATATGTACCTCTGCATGACATTGCCAAATGACGGTTATCTGCACGGATTTTTGGTTTACTGACAACTACGATTGCGATTCCGACCTCCATTACTATCTAATGCTCATTCATCTTTGAATAACCTAGTCTCGCTCAAGTTTGTACACCTGATATCGCACCCCCCTGTATATAGCATGGTATACTTCCTCTATATCGAAGGGATTGTCCGCTTTATAAGTTTGTATTGGTTAGAAGATTAGATAGAAGCGGGAAGAGCATTTGCGAATATGTTACCTTTTTCTTTTATAAAATAGAGTTTTGATATTATACGTAAATTTATTTAATTTTTTTCTTTTAGAACTTAGGGAAAGAAACGTAATTTAAAGTCTAAAGAGAGAAATGCCATTTGCTGGAGATATTGAGATATTTTTAAAATGAAAGATCTTATCACGATATAGCGGCTATCGGTAAAATACATGATATGTCGGCCGAAACTCTTTCTAGAACTTGACGGTGAACCAAACGCACCCAAAACCCAACAGCCTTGCCTTTAAAGTCTTAGGAATCTTTAATGCATAAAAGCGTTACAGTATCACGTTGCCCCTACCAACATAGATTAACTTATTACAGTTGTTTATACTTCATTAATGCGTTAAATATAGAAATATTAAATGATGCTTTTTTGCCTTTGCAGCAGATCATAGAATGTACTATGCAAGTTGGGGTGAGGAAATAACTATAAGCTGCCACTCATGAAAAAGGCAGTGCTTCGATTTAAAAACACGCTACCGGCATTCATTACTTGTGCCAAAGAATGCATTAATGTGGCCCATGAATAAGTTTAAGAATGTGGCCCATGAATAAGTTTAAGGCCCCAATAAGTTTAAGAACTAAATACTAACATGCAATGTAATTAAAATAAAGGTTAAATAAATACGTATTATACTCGTATAATTGTATCATATTTAATAAAGTACACTTGCGTCTTGTTAGTGACAAAGCAGGAAAAAATATTACTTCTAAAAATGGAACAATCATTTCGATGCGGAGGGAGTATGTAAGAAAGAGATAAAGTATAAAGAATTAATATTAGGTAAGAGTGGTAAACTACCTAACAGAAAGATACAAATAAAAAACAATTGGAAAAAAGTTCTGAACGAAGCTGAAGTAAAAGTAAATTAATATAAAAAGAAAGGAATAATCATTTTATATTAAATAACAATTAATAATTAATCAAGTTTTTTATGTTTATATATGCAAAACTTGGCCTGGTGTTATGGATTCATTTGAAAATGACGGCAAATTAAAAAATTATTTGAATTTATGTGTAGGTTAATTATCCTTATTCTTTAGTGAACACGTTTTAAAAACAAGGCACAAATATATATATTCAAAAATGGCTTTATTCTCTTCTGTTGTATAATATAATGTGGAGAAAGCAAATTCATAAAATAGATGACGAAAATAACTTACAATGCAACTCTTCGAAACAGCTCCATGAAAATTGCAGGCTGGCGCCATCTTTCGGTGAAAAACGACAACTCCTCTTATAAAGTTAATATTTTTTTACAAGTAAATGTCTTTTCATAACATTTGGTGTAGTTTATATTTTATTAATCGAGATCCGATTAAAATGTATGAGAACTGGGCACAGTATTCTTTCTGGAGCCCTCACAGACCCCCCGCTTCATATTTTCATAAAAGAAAATCGCGGTTCGAATTACTGAATGATTAAGTCCTTTAAAATGGACCTAAGCGGTAACCAAATCCTGTTACTAACTCAAATTCTATATCAACGAATTTCTGTTTGACATGAAGATGGATTCTGCGGAATATTCATTTATCTGTTAATATGTTAATCGATTTCTTTTTTATTTTGTAAAATCTCGTTGTCTAATTTTATTGTACAAATTACGGTAGGTTCACACTTGTTGGCTCTTTCAAACATAATAGCGCGCGTCTGAGTAGATTTGTGAATGCATTATTCTGATTTATCTTATGAAAGGGTAAAATTTGATTATTTCTCTAACATTTGAACCTCTACTATTTAAATTTCTAGCATAACATTGAAATATTTTAATTTATCCTTTCTTGCTTTTTGAACACTACACAGTTATTGTTTCATATTGCCCAAATTCAGCCATTGTTTGTATTTAACAACTGTTTGGCCATTGCTTGTACCCTATTTAGCCATTATTTTAAATGATATTTGTAAACAGTTTCATAGTGAATACAAAAAAACTAAAATGTTAGATTATACAGGTAAGAAATTTAGAGCATATCATTGTAATTTTTCGAAAACATATTTATGAAAGAAGCTCAGTAAGTTAGCTGTTTGAGTATGAGTTTTTTTGTTCATTTTGTCTATTCTTAGGCATCCGATCTTTTGCATTGTGACCCCAAAAATATGCAGATGTATCTTAGCTAGACACAAAATTCATTATATTTTTTGTTTAGTCAGTTGCAAGCGTTCGTAACACAGTTGTTGTGTTCAGTAATTATTTTTCTTATAAAAGATGAGATGAAGTCAAAAAGAATGTTACATGAATAGATAGTTGCCGTATATGGTTATTATGGATTACCACTGAAGTTGCATATTAAACAATTTAATTGAGAGGGAGATCACTAATAGTAATATTTGTCAGGGCCCGTCCAGTGGAAGTTAACTCAAAGAAAAATGTGCAGGTTATTATTAAGAAAGATCACATTGTGTGCAAGTGTACTGTTTTTCCACCACAAGAGAACATCTGCAGCAATTACCGTAAAAATGAATCCTAATCCAATTTTTGTGGATTCTTGAATTTTTATTTGATGCGATTAATGACGAATTAGTAAAATACGCTTTTTAATTTTTGCTTTATGTAAAATGCTTGTCATAACTTTTTTATTTGTCTCACTAGCAATATACATTAAAAAAACAAATAATAACGAAACTTTCTCCCAACTCAATCCTGCTTGAAATGCATGCGATCTGTTGCTATAACGAGTTAGACCATACTGGCAAGAGTAATCCTTGTGGTAGCCAAACAGTACACAAACTAGACATTTCAGTTAACACAACATTTACAATCATGCGCGAGTCAGAAATGAATTCTCGATGGGCATCTCGAATACCGAAAGGCGATTAGAAGCTGTTTTGCTGCAGTGTCTTCAAGTTGGAGAGTCTTGCAGCAAATTTATATGCTTTCTTTCCGAGGATTACGACCGATCTTGAGACAAAGGCTGAGCTAGTTTAACCATTAAGCAATGTAAACATCTGCTTAAGGCATCAAGGAAGAAACGGCATCAAAGTCTTTTAAACGCTTAAAGTTTATTTTTTAAAATCCTTATCTGGCCATAGACACAGGTAACGCAGGCACCAAACAGTCTTTAATTCCCAAAATATTTCGTATGCGACAATTAGCCAGAAAAGGTAATGACAACAATTTATAGGGATAAGAATCATGTGAATAATATCGATTACTGGAGAATCTAATTCTAACAGCAGGAATTGATTAGGGGATGTCATCAAGAAATGATTGTTGTGGCAAATGACGTTGTGTGTTCAGCTGGTGTGTAGTTTATATATGATAATACGTCTGTGCAAAATGGCATGCAGCACAGCCTTCTGTTAGAAAATGCAGTTTTGAGGAGCTTATACATCCTCCCTGCAATTCATATCCAGCTGCTCTCAGTGACTATTTTCTACTTCGAACATAAAAAACTTCGGTACAACTCTGATATACGCCCTAATTTCACCAAATGTGGCGATATGTGTTCTGCGCTGGTTTTTGGCGCGATTGCGTGTTGTATGGCAACCCTGTTGACGTTGACAAATCTTTCGCTGGAGCTCGTTGGTTCGCGCAAATCTGTGACCACAATCAAGTACCTCAGTTTAACAATCGACAAGAAATTCTGGATTCCTCATCTACAAAATATTAAACTTCGTACAACATCAATAGCTAACTGCCTACGACGTATGCATGGATATAACTGGGGCTTAAATCCCCATATAACACGTATTCTTCTAAAAACAGTCATCTCAAAAATAGTAAATTACGGAGCCGGAATTTGGGCACAACCAATGACAGTAAGAAAGATGAAATGTTTAAATTCAATTCAAAGGCCTTTTACTCTTTGCATTACTCGGGCGTATCGCACAACTTCAAATATAGCACTTGATACTCTAGCTGGTACTCTCTTTCTCCGTTATCAATCAGTGCAGAAATGGAATGCACCTATACGAAAGTTCTCCAACTTAACCAAGCCGCAGAATTCAACAACCAAACCTTTTGGCCATCCAACTATGAAAAGAAAATTAACCCCAATCTTATCCATCCAGCGCTTCGCTTCAGCAAAATAATATTCACCACGTCTGAAGAAAAATTCAAGTTCATCTCCAATTGCTTATACTGATGGATCAAAAATTGAAGGAAAAGTTGTGTTCCGCAGTCTTTTTTCAAATTACCCCCTCAAATATCATCAAATGGAAAGGCCATCTCCATAATAATAATAGTGTTTTCCAAGCGGAATTGTCAGCTATAAAAGCAGCGATTGAAATAGCCATTCAAAAATCTCAACAATTTAGCATAAAATCTGACTCCCAAGCAGCTATTCTAGCTATTAAAAATCCCTTACCTTCCTCTCCATTGATATCCGACATAAATTCTCTTCTTGGAAAAATCCCAAACTACAAAATTCAAATTTCAGGATCAAAGGACATAGTGGTCATTTTGGTAATGATCAGGCAGATGAACTAGCCAAAGAAGCAGCTATTAATCAAGATGGTACTAAAATCATCATTCCGTGGCCTCGCTCAAATTTCAAGTACCAACTAAAACAACTTGCTTCAAAATCCCTGCAGCATTTGTGGAACAAGCTCCACAGGAAAGACGCACATATAACGTGATCCGCAATGTAAGCTGCGCATCTCTGTACTCTAATCCTTCACTAAATTACTATATAACAGGACATGGACCCTTCCCCACATATTTCAACGCAAGAAATATGGCGAATTCTGATATCTGTATATGTGGGGAATATGGAACTTCTGATCATTACACTTTCTCAAACCTCTTAACTGAGGATACTCACATAAAATCCCCACTAACTGATCTCTTGGCATTCCAAAGGTTTTTAATTAAAGATAAACATCAATATCCAAAGTTTCAGAAAATTATGAAACGACTCTGTTCCTACCGGCCTAGAGCTCTGTCAAGTGTAAATCCACATACAGTTTAAACTTAGTGAACTTTTACATGCTGTAATTATGGAAAAAATGGATCCGCTCGTGAACTGAACTTTATAAACTGCAATAAACCAATATATCTGAAATAACCCCATGGACACCTACCTCTTTAGCATTATTATAACAATTCATTTAACATTATGTTGCCAGTACTATTATAATTATCTCATTATGTTTATTTGTTTATTAATTATGTTTTATCTCCTATTTTTGTTTGCACCAAATCAGATGTTCAATTTATCTTGTGAATCTCAAATTGTATTCGTACTATTTTGTAATCTACTTATGCCCTACACCATTTTTTTTAATAAATACTGGATGCGGGGCGTACTGTGGAATTGCACGATGTACCATAATAGGCAAACTTTAGACCTTTTGAAAAGCTTCAGTCTATGCAAATTCTTATAAAACTTGCAATTACCCCCCCTTTTTTTTTATCTCTTAAAGAGTTAGTATGGGAAGGCATTACCAGTTGACCTATGGTACATCGCTGGTGTCCCCCATACTTTTACCTTTACCTTTACCTCTGTATCTGAGAAGATAGGAGGAAAAGATAAAATGGTAGAAGTTGTTGAATTGAAGTTCGGCAAAAGGAAATATCATCGTGGTCATCCTGTTGAGTTGCAGTGGGTATTTGGAGAAGAAAATGTGGAAAGAGGGTCTGGTAGATTATTTTTAGTGGCTGTGCATGATAGAAGTAGGGATTTGTTATTATTTGTGATTTTATTTATTTGTGAACCATAGTATGAATTTTCTGGATAGTGTGTATGGCTGTCATATAAATACGATAGTGATTACGTGGCGGCATGTTAAAGGCGGTATAAAATTGGTATTTCTGCTGTTCAAAAAAGCATTCATTCATGGTAAATGCATTTTATTTTATTCTTGTTCTTATTTTGTAGAATGTTATGTTCATTGTTTTTTTTAGTATGAATTTCTGTCGTTATTGTTCTTTTTTGAATTGTTTGAAATTTATTTTAGTTATTTTACTTTATTTTGTTGATTAGTGCGTAGCGTCTAGATTGTGCAATCCGTAAATATTTTTTTAATTTGAAACAGAACTCTGTGTACATGGTATTCTTTGAAATTTATTGTTAGTATGTTAATTTATTAAAGCAAGGTGTGCGTAGTTCGTAGGTTCGTTTGTTGCCTAGATTGTGCAATTCGTAGAATTTTTTTTTTTTTTTTTTTAAGTTAAAACATATCGCTGTGTACATGAATTTTTGTCAAATATTTTTGGTTAGAAACTTTACGTTTTTGGTATTTAATTTTTTTGTTTTTGTTTCGGATTCTTCGCTTAAATTGTGTGTTCAAAACGTGGTTTTTGCATGTGCGTTTTTGGAGACATTTTGCCTTAAAGTTCGAAATGTAGACAACAAATTTAGATAGTAATATGGCAGCGTGGAGTTTCTCGCCAAACACTTTTGGCGAGAAATTTAGGGGCTTGAGGGCGCATATCAGAGTAGTTCCAAAACTTCCTGCCCGGATATCGATTTCTTGATGATGATGATACTAATAATGATCGATGCTTCGAAGCAATAGTAACCGACTAGCTTGATAATTAAGATAATCTTTTTTATTTTCAATGAATCCGTTAAAAAGGCAATTTTCACTAAGTTTTTGCGTTTGTACTCAGGTAAATAATTTCCTCATACACTCCTCATACAACCATAAATTACAACCATAACACTCCTCATACAAGCATAAATTTAGAGGCTTGAAATATCAAGGAACTGAGTTAGGACACGGCGTTCTCTCTAGCAAAGCAACGAATTCAGCAGTTTTCTTCTTTGAAGGAAAACATGTCAATATTAAACTTAAAGTTAGGCAAAACAGCGATCTTATTTTCATGTAGATTTTGAATAAAGCTTTATCGAGTCTGAAGGCTATCTGACACAGACTCCTCTTCTTCTTCTTCTTCAATATATATATATATATATATATGTGTGTGTGGTGTGTGTGTGTGTGTGTGTGAAATTGGAGGAGCGATGACTGCATCTTTATCAAAACCAAATGGGTGGAACAAAGGGAACAGGAAAGTAGTGACATCGAGGAACTAGTTATGAAACGAAATCAAGATATTAGAATTTTGAAAGCGTTAAGAAGGAAATGAACTGGAATCAACCTACATGAGTACGTCTGTGGTCAGCAATAAGTATTTTAAACCTTAATCCTGATCAGCCACTGATCAGCTACTGTAATATATGAATTTTATCGAATTTCAGGAGAGATTGGAATTGAATTAATTGCGCAGTTAAAAATCAAAATTAAAAATAAAGTTACTGAAATTTAACCATTTATTCTGCTTTTTCTATCATTAGGAGAGACCGAGACCGGAATTCGCTGCCAAAGCACCCTGCGTTGAAAGGAATCCAATAACAGGTATTAAAGAACCATCTTTTCCTACGACCATCAGGTACAAGAGGATAGCCATAGGTTCTGGAGCCATCTTAGTAATGGTATTTAATCTTTTACTTTTTTATTTTCTTCCCTCTTAACATTTTATTCTGTCAGTAAGTTAAAAAGAAACTAATTCATTTATTCGAAGATTATTTATTCATTTCTTTTCATTATCTTGAAAATCATTATGTTAAAATTTGCAAATTTGATTCTTAGTTATCTGAAACCGTGAATCGTTAGGGAATCGCAAATAAATATTTTTAGGTAACAGCCATAAAATAAGGTCAATTTCTTTTATGATTACAAACATCTTACTAACATCTCGCTGTACACTTTACTTTCGTACTCACTTTAGTACTCTTTGTGGATAGTAACCACGGCAATCCCACCAGAATCAAAGCATGATCTTTTTGTTAGTCAAATTGCCCTTTGCTACTCTGCCGACGGGCTTAGCGAGCGCAGACCAACCCCCTTTTCGGCCCGTGTTGTTGAAGTAAATCCACTTTCCATGACAAGTGACGATCCTGTCCGGAATTTTGTCCTTACGTTGATATTCGGGCAGATTAGTGCAGACCCGAACACGTCTTATCTACTTGAGTCAGTTCATGCGGCGTACGGCGATTGAACCTACATTTATGCGATGCATAGCGAGGCTAATGAACATGGCGCTAGCGTCTCAAGCCTCGTTTCCACTACTGCGTACGAACGCGTTGCGTCAATTGAAGACACGCCTACGGCATCCGTTCAAGCGTTTCCACCGCCGCGTATCCGTAGAATATTTTCATTTTCCGCCACTAGGTGTCACTGCAATATTTGGGCGCCAAACAAGCAGTTACGAGTTACGACGCTGAACATCTGAATTTTTCCCGCTTAAGCGAGTATTGTTTGTTTTGGATTTGATATGGATCCTGACGTAAAACGCAGAAAAGTTTTGTTTACTAAATTCCATGTTATTGGAAAATTTTATTTCTGCTTATGAACTGCGAAAATAAAGTACGCTTGCAATTTTTAGATAAGTAAGGTTATAATGCATATTATGAACATCACTAATTCCATAGAAGCTGAAGTAAATTTTTAAAAAAATTTTGCGTTTCTAGAAGGCTTAAATATTAATGAAAATTATATATATATTATTAAAACTAAAATGTATTATTAGTGAAAAATAAACAAATAAATAAATAAAATAAAAAACTTAAAGGAATTAAAAAATAGTTGGTACTTTAAAAATACAGAGGAACTGTAACGAAAGGTTCACAATATTTACACAAAATTTGCTATGCTTGTATACGGCTGACTTGAGGGTCATAGCTGGATAATTTATTAGAAATCTCGCTTGTTTTAAAATGCACTATGAGCAGTTATATTTTATGCATAATCCATAAAATATTATTTTTAATTTAAACATTTTTAATTCATATCTCTTTTATAGAAGAAGTTATAAAAATAAGATTTTTCTCTTTATATATATGTTACGGTGAAACACCGAAATCTGGAGAATGTCGACTTTCACCGGTGAATGTCAACATTCACATAGTCTCTTGGTGTATGTCCGAAATATTTTCCAAATACTCTTATTTCTGACTTACACCGGTCAATGTCGACATTCACCATGTACTAATGGTGAATGTTGAACATATAACAATATTATATTTTCTTCTCCGTAATTCAGTCGCGAATAAACGCACTTGAAACATGAAATAAGAACTTAAGAACACGAGAACCTAAACACACACATACATTCAAAATGAGAAAGGAAAATAATAGAAGTTAAAAACTTACTTAATTATACAGTACGTTCTAAATGAGAAAATAAAATAACAGTAATAAAAAACTTACTAAATTATGTGATTCAAATCTTATTTATTGCAACAACTTAAACTAATATGGCACTTTATGACCTCTTTTTTCGACTTTCACCAGAGCATATCTGTGATTGTCGATATACACCGGTGAGGGTCCGAATATACAAGAATGTAGTGAAATATTCGGTCTTTCACCGACGTATTTGGTGAATGTTGATATTCTCCGGTGAGAGTCGAAATTGTCCAATTTCGGTCTTTCACGGTAACATATACACACATTAGGTAAAGAAAATGGAAATATTCAATTAATTAATTCTTGGGCTTCTGCTGGAGAGGACTGAATTTAAAAGCAATTATTATAGCAATTTTTTGTTAAAAAATGTTTAGGGCATTAATACTGTCTCATGTTAATTGGAATCAAAGTTTAGAGTCGTAAACATCCCAAAGTCACATAAAAGTGAAACGAAAATATATATATATATATACAGGGTTTCAAAATAATAAATTAAATTTTAATAATTCTCTTGCGCCATTGCTGCAAGGAATGAAATTTGAATTTAACAAACATTTTCTATTCGTAAAAAGCAAATTTAAAGTTAATTAAATTTAAAGGAAATTTAATGCAAACAAATAAATGATTAATTATTGCTGCGAACTAATATACAATATCATTTAAATTCTGAGAGCATATGTAAATCAAGTGCAAGCCTTCATTCCTTTGCAATAGTGCTGTAGAAGTAACGAGAAATTGTGTACCCGTATGTATTCGTTACTCGGTGAACCAGTACTCGTTACTTTCGGTAAAATCGATCGGTATTCGTATCCTGAGCCTATTTTATCGGTATACGGCCCTATGCGATAGGAAGTTTCGCGTCGTATTTTTGGATACAAATAATTCACCTCCTTTTGTGGTGTCTCAGAAGTCAGAAGCGCCTATGGAAGGCCGTCAGGAAAAAATAAAATAAAAAATAAATAACGAAATAAAATAAATATTACAATAATAACATTAATTAGTAATTAAAATACTAAAAAATTACTTGTTAAAAAACTTAATAATTAAAATAATAAAAAATAGTGATTAAAGTAATGAATAATTAAAGTAACATAATAATTATCAACTGAAATAAAATACTTAATAAAATAATAAAATAATACTTAATAATAAGTAAAATTTAACAAAAATGTAAAGACAAATAAAAATTAAAATAATTCTTAAATTTATGATGAATTGTTAAATTATAAAGTAAAATACCAGACCTTGTCTTATTGGCTTAGTACCTTTTTCGTCCTTTCTCATTTCATCATCCCAGCTCCAAAAAGTGGTCATTTCGTTCGCTGCCTTCTCCCGCCAATTCCTCTCTTTCCGGTTTCATCCGCTGTTTGAAAAATAGGTGTTTACTTTACGATAAGACGAACGTCTGTTTACTTCAATTAAAATTGGTTTAGAAGAGATGACTGTTTCTACTTCGACTTAGCTTTTGATTTCTAATACTATTTAATTATTTTATGCAGACGAATTATGCTGAGCAGAATAACGAATTTCAGACGTGTTCAAAAGGAGTGTATCAGAATATAATACAATAACACTTTTGTTATATAATATCCATTTTTTTTAAAATTTCACATTTCTAAAGCAACAGAACCACGGTATCATTATTTTGGCACACACACCAAAAACATGTAATATTAAGAATAATGTTACATTCTTTATTAAAAGTAATGGGTCCGCTTTAAATCCAACCATCCATGCTTTTAGAGGATTTTACACGTGATGGTCTTAAAAAGGTGATGTTCACCCCCAATGTTTGTTTATGTTCTCAAAAAATACAGATCTCTTAGAAAGTGACCTCTTAGAGATGTCGTAAATAGATGATTTGCTATAACTATTTTCTAATAGTTAACGGAATTAATGTAATTTAGTGTCAATAACTCGAAGAAGCAAGTTTAAATACGGTGCAACAAAAATACAGAAGTATTTTAAATGACTAAAATATTCATTTTGTCAATGTCAAATTTTAAAAAGAATTAATTTTGGACAAATTATGAAATCTAACTTTTAATGTTGTCTTCTGGTTCCTATATTTATAGCTGGCAAAGTTTTATACTCGTTATGAAAAAATAAAAATACAAGAAGTTTGAGTCCCGTAGACAGAGATTTGACCGGGAAATTTAATTTCAAAATTTGCAGTGTTTGATGCCATTTGTAACTTGCCTTCGGGTATCGCTTAATTAAGTTAGAATAATTCGAGGAAATAAATTTAAATGAAGTGCAGCAAAAATAAAGCATAATTTAAATAGTCGTAGAAGGAAGTTATGCGGTAGCCATATCAAATTTCACTTTTCATAATGACAATAAAACTTTCCCAAATACAAATAAAGAAACTGGATTGGTGTTGGTGTATTTAATTATGGCAAAGCACACTAGGGCTATCTGCCTAAAGGGAGGGATGCCTTCGTGGAGGACTTTCTAAGGGCTTGTATACACGTTACACATGGCGAAAACCACGAAAACACCCATGCAGCCAACCCGTTCGCGGGATTCGAACCTCAGACCGAACTACCAGTGTTCAACGACGTTACCGCTCGGCCGCTGGTGGGCTAAAGAAATTGGGAGACCGCATTAAAGATTAGATTTCGTTATTTGTCCGTTATTCGTTATTTCGTTTGCTGCTGCTCCCCATTCCTTTCATCAGAACCGCTAATGACGAAAGGGTGAATTTCTAGTAAAGCATGTATATTAATGTTCATTATACATTTGTCACATTTTTGCTTTCTTTCAAAACAGCGATAATGTGATTCTATTGCTTTAGAAATTAATAAAATGGACCCTATGTTATAAAAACCTAATTATATTCAGATACACGCCTTTTGCACATGTTTGAAGTCCATTATTCTAATCAGAATGCCTACAGAAAATATTGAATCAATATTAGAAATCAAAAGCTAAGTGAGAATGAAGTAGTAAGAGTCATGTCGTATAACCTGTTTTAATTGAAGAAAACAGGTGCTTGCTTTATCGAAAAGTGAACACCTATTTTTTCAAAACAGCGAAGAAACCCACCAGCGCTCGAGCGGCAAAGTCGCTGAAGACTAATAGTTCAGTCCAGGGTTCAATTCCCGGCTAACGGCTGGCTGCACGGGCGTTTTCGGGGTTTTTCCCATGTATAACTAGCATATATGAGCCAGTTTCCTTTAAAAAGTCCTCCACGAAGGCATCCCTTCCCTTAGGCAATAGCCCTAGTGTGCATTGTCGTAAC